CCCCCCCCCCCCCGCCCCACCTCACCTCAAAAGCCTTCTATTTGTAGGTTGATAAGAATATTGAGGAGTTCAATTTAAACCAAATTTGCACAACAAAAATCTAAAACAACAAGACTTATAAATTGTAGGAGTGCTTAAATATCATATTTTCCATTCAACAGCTTGGTTTTCTTTACAATCAGCAAATCTGAGTGCACCTGTGCTCTTTGGACATGGCTATACATGATAATGAACTAGAATGCTGGAATATATGACTTTGGTTGTTCATTTAGTAGGACAAAGGAAATGAAACTTAGAGCTCATCGTGATAGAGGAACGTCTCCATGGCATGCTTTTTCTTGCAATCCCAGTGGCATTTCCGAGAGCACAAGGAATTGAAGGTTGTTAACCTGGTTGATTGAAGAGAAATGATATCTGATGTTGAAGGAGACTTCGAAAGGATAACTGCATACCCATCGTCCATGTAATCTGTCCCTTCAGGAAACAACTGCCACAGAAGGCAACCACCACCACTGCCTCCTTTCCTAGTCGAGTTCAAAAGGATCTTGTACACTGTGCTCACGAGGGTATCCCTGTATGTCGAATTATAGCCAGGATCTTTTGCTGAAACACCAAACTCGGCAAACACAACAGGCATGCCAAGGAAATTCTCAGCATCGTCAACATGAGATTGTATCCATGACTTGGTGAATTGTATATGAGAATCTGAGATTGTTTGCGAAATCCTTCATATGATTTAAAAAATACCACTTAGAATCTCCCGTTTGAACTTAAAACAAATACGTAGTATTTAAAAGACAAAGTTATACAATTGTAGTAGAAGCATATTCCATGGTATTAAGAAAGAAAAATACGCTAAAATAACTTCATATGGTAAATAAACTAAAGAGAATTTTTCAAAGCCATTGTTAAACTTACCAAGAGTCTGGATAGATGTGAACGGAAGCAAAATCAACCCCAAGAACTTGATGATTCCTGACAAAGTCAGTTCCAACTTGTTGAGCATAGGTATTTGGGTTAAACTGAACCCTGTTGGGAGTGGATGGACCATAGAAACCTTCCAATCCAATCTCCACCAGATGCTTTGGGTCAACACTTTTCACATATACTGCCATTTCTTCTATCCATTCCTAAAAAAAATTGGAATTTAAAAAAAATCAGTAAATTGTTGCTGTTATAGTAAACGTCGGGCCAAGCGACTCAGTAGAAAATTAACGTTTTAGGATTTGTTAGATATATGTCTTTAATTTTCTTTAACTCTAATGAGAAACCGAACCTGCAATTTATTGCCGGAGGAATCTGATTCACACCGTGGCTCATTCATCAGTTCCCAAGCAAAAATAGTAGGATCATCCTTGTAGGTTATGTTTGTGACAGTATTGACTCTGTTTAGCACCATCTAAAGGAGCCAAAAAGCATTAAATTTCAAACTTAGAGTTATCATTACAAAAGAGCCATATTAATTCAAGAAACTTACCTTGACATGGGCTTTGTAGTAGCTTCTGAGAGTTGGATGTGAGAAGAAATCATCATCAGAAGTCAAATTGAGGCCAGCAGCTTTACCCCATTTGACATACTGTGATTTCCCGCCATATGCTTTCCAGTTATTAACCAAGGATAATATGAGCCTTATCTTGTACTTCTTAGCTTCACTTATGACAAAATCCAAGGCCTGAAACCCAAAAATAACGATTTACAACAAGAAAGGTCTCATATTTGAGCAATTAGTCAAGGCTAAATCCATAAGTTTATTGTTATTGTAAAGTTGTTTCAAAGATTTCTTTCTTTTACAATGTTGAAAAGGCCATGTCCCAGGTTGAAAGTTTTTGAACTTCAAAATATTAAGTCACTCTCCGAAGTCATCTTAACCAAAGGACTAGAAAAGCAGATTTCTGGCATGTTTCGGAAGCTGGACGAGACCACTCACAATTTTTTTCACACACCTTTCTTACAATTCAGCATACAAACATGCCTTTTATAAAATTGCAATCTTGTACAGAGGATTGGTACAGGAGTAACTGTTAAATAAAGATGCACCTTGAAAACTTCTTCATCATAAACCGACGGGGTTTTCTGAAGAGCACGCCACTGACCATCGTTGAAAGCCCAAGTCCGGCATACCGTAAGTCCCACTGCAGAAGCCTGTTGAAACACCTCAGTAACTTTTCCTCTTGTCGATTGATCCACGGCAAACACCATTAACCAATAAGTGTTGAATCCATTGAAGTAGAAAGGCAGCCCGTTGACAATAAATTGGTTCCCATTTTTCTGCACTAGACTCCATGCTTCTTCCATTTCACTGTGCTGATAAATCCTGCACAGATAAATTTATCACTTTTTGACTGAATACAAAAATACATGAACCAAATGTGTCTGGGGGAGGGAAGAAATTTCATAAAAGGCACCTATTGTTCATCTCAGGTAATGCAAAAATACTGTCTGCACTATCCACTGATTCAGAATTCTCATAAGATTCTATGCGACCGATAAACATTATAAAAACAACTGCCAAATAAAGGGCTAAAAATCTGTATTTTAACACCAGTTTCTCCATGTTTTGAACTCAACACCGCATTGAATTTGTTTCGAGCAGCCAATATATATGCAAACATGTCCATGTTCTGCAACGCAGTGCAGGGAAAAAAATGTATTCAAGAGAAGTAATGATGAGGAAATCATCTGGCTGCCTTCAAAGCAAAGATGCACTCCTCTCTGTCAGATATGGATAGAAAAATGAAAATGGTGGGTCGGATTGGATCGGATCGGATCAGAATTGATCTTTGCTTCCTCTATCTTCTTTATACTCATTTGAAGTTTTTTGTGAAAATTAAGAATGTTGACAAGAATTGGCCGTAAATGTCATATAAAAGTGAGCGCTAATCAAAAAACATATATTCATTAGACCCTTTGAAGAAAAGCTTCACTAATAAATCTAATTGGCTCAGCAGATTTTAGCTAGGATGTCTAAATCAATGCATCATCATCCATGAAATGAAAGGCCCTTAGATAAGTTTGAGTATTTGATATTACCTGAATCTAAGTCAAGTGTCAGATAAACATGGGTCCTTAGCTTCGAAGTATGATTTGTAGAAAGAGAGCAGTGAAAGTACAAAATAAATTGAAACCATAATCTGGAAAAAAAAGAGAGAGTCATAAATCATGATTTAGTGCTCTTAAGAGTCAGTCACATATATTCTGGGGAGAACCGAATTATAGTGTTTAATTGGGTAAGATCAAAACTTACCCAATATTAAAATCAAGAAGTGTATTATACCAGAATACACTTCTTTTATTTGCCCAAATTACAATTTTGAACTCTCCTGTAAAAGATTAAAGGACTATAAACAAGACTATCATTTTC